TATCATGAACAAAGCAGAATCTTTTATTTCCAAACATACCCTGTTTCACTAGTTCTCCACTAATCTCTTTTCTCCTTTAGTAAACAGAGCCATGATACTACTAGTGACTGAAGGGCCATCTAGTGACTCCTATAGGTCATCTTTTCTCTCATCCTTGCAACAACCTGTTAGAAGAATTATTAGTTCTATCTCAACAATATACCCCAAATCTGATACCACTTTCTAATCTGACCTTTGTTGCTTTAGTCCCAACCACTGGTGTGTCACACCTGAACCATCCTAATATTTCTGTTTTTGGTCTCTTTACTTTCACTCTTATCACCCTATAATCATTTTTTACACAGTTATAGAAGTGTTTTTAACATATATCTGACATGATAATTATTCTACTTAAATTCTCAATGGATTCTTAGGCACTTACAATACATTCAAACTTTTTTACCACGGACCGTTTCTAAATAATTTGGTCTCTCTTTATCCATCTCACCTTAACTTCTACCCCTTTTACTCTCACTGTGTGCTGGTTTCAATGACCTTTCTGTTCCTAAATGTGCCAAATTCTTTCCTAAATCAGGAACTTCCACTTATATTCATGGTCCCTGGAATGTTCTTACCTCAATTCTCAGAAATGTTCCCTGTATTATTTGGGATTCACCTCAAATGTCTTCATTTCAGAGAGGCTTTCTTTGGCACTTTGTCTAAATACTTCTTCATCACTTTATTATTTTACCTTTTATTTTCCTCATATTACAATATAATTTTTTTTTTACTTATACGTGTTCATTTACTATTTCCTGTCCTTTTACACTAGAGAATAATGGTCCCAGTCTCTAAACCTTTGCTTGGCACATATTAGACACATACTCGTTGAGCAAATGATTAACTCTCTGTACTACTTGTTTAAGTTGCAAATTCCTGCCTAACCCCACAACACAGAGTCAAGATTTTCAGAGCAGGAATGTTCCTAGAAATCTGAATAACAAATAAGAAACTGAATAATTTTTTATGCAGATCAATGTTTTGGAATTACTACTTTCCTCTGGATGAGGCCAGAACCTAGTCAAGAAGAATGTCTAAAATGGGCAGGCATATTATCTGTTTTCCCCTTGAATTCTAACTTCATAGAAGAGTTAGAACATGTAGATGAAGAATGGATTTTTTTGGGCTCTGTTTTCCTGTGAGTGTATTAGAACTGACCTTCCCCTGAGTGTTGGGGAGGCTGGTCTCTAGCTGGGCTCTCATTTAGAGTGACCACAGTTAGAATTCAGTGTGTCTCTCTGCTCTTATTTCATTCCCGTGCTAAAGTCTTGGATACTTGAGGGGAAAGTAGATGCTTCCTTAAGCAATTGTGGGGAGGATCCAATAGGTGGTCCATGCCTTGCTGTTTGCCTTGCTGTGTTGCTGTTAGTGTCCTTCAGCTACCTTGGTTTGATGCCCATGGCTTTGGCCAGGGTTTCAACTCTGCCCGGGCATTATTGAATTGACATAGAATCCTAAATAAATACTGTCTCCTAGATATATTAGCTGTTTTCATAAGGAAGTAACTCATGAGGTTATCTTTACTCTGTATCTGTATGAAAAATTGATAGAAATGTTATTTAGTGAACAAGAATATTATTAAGATGTTTATCTTTTGCTTCTCAGGTTAGAGGTTGTTCCTAAGATTAATAGAACTTTATATATTTATTAGAAATATGTTTTAAAGTATTTTACTCCCATCTTTTGCTCTTTTATCTTTGTCTAATGGTAATAAACATCATTAAAAATACCCATTTTCAATAAAATATAAAACAAAAAGAAAACAAAAGCGACAAACAAAAATATCAATTTGAGTGTAGAGCTTATCTAGTAAATGTCTATTGAGCATAGAATTTGTGCCTGTTTCCCCGTCAGTAACCTATTTATCCATTAAAGTTCAACTCAAAGTCACCTGTGGGACCTTTCCTAATTTGTGTAGGCAGAGCTAGTTGCTCCTCTGCTTTAAAACAAAAAGCTCTGTACTTTTTTGGAGCATTTATTACATTTCTTGAAATTTTGTATATGTTTATCTCCCCTATCTAACCTGTAAGATCATTAAAGAGAATCTTTTTTCTTAATCTCCAGTATTTAGCACAACAATATTTTCTCCAAATCTCCGGTATTTAGCACAACAATTGACAAAAAGTAAGTGTAGTCATGTGCTGTATAACAATGTTTTGGTCAATGCCTAACTATCTATGATGGTGATCTCATAAGGTTATAATGGAGCTGAAAAACTCTTGTTGCTAGGAATGTCTTGATAATCCTGGCCCTGTTTAGGCATAGGCTAATATGTATGTTTGTGTCTTGGTTTTAAACAAAAATGTTTAAAAGTAAAAAAAGTATTTAACAGTAGAAAAAACTTATAGAATAAAGATATAAAGAATAAAAATGTATTTGTATCTTTTGTTGTATCTTTATACTCTAAAGATATTTTTATACCTTAATTCATTATTGAAGAAAGAAAAATATGTTTTCATGAATTTAGTGTAGCCTAAGTTTGCAGTATTTATAAGGTTCACAGTAGTGTACATTTATGTCCTGGGCCTTCACATTTAATCACCACTCACTTACTGACTCACCCAGAGCAAATTCCAGGTCTCTAGGTTCCACTCATGGTAAGTACCCTATATAGTTGTACCATTTT